GGCTGGGGTCATTCACCTTATTTGGAGGGGAACAAAAAAAAAAAGGCCAACCTGCAGGAATAATTTGACTATAGACATGATTTCAAACAAGTATTTGGATGGTTTGGATAATGTTATTATGAAAGCCGTCTTTTGAAAACTGAAGCCTCCTACTCCCCCAGTCTTTCCTTCTTAAGCATGAATCTGGTTTTCAGCAGCAAATTTGAATATGTGGAGAAATTCCTGTGAGTTTGGTACAGCATATGATTTCAACAGTACGCAGCGCGATTTATTTTGGCACATCTCTATAAAATGCCTTTGAGAAACAGGCACGTGCTGTGTGCGATGAGTGACGTGGCGTGCTATGAGACAGGAAAGACCACCAGGGCGAGGACAGAGGAACCAGAAGGGAAGGTCTCCGACTATTTGAATACAATACTAATTTCCATATATGATTTTAATTACTGAGATTCCCTGAGCTACGTGTTTCAAATTCAGGCAAAATTCTGGCGTTGCAATTAGCAGGAAAGAAGTTGACTCTGCAGCCTCTCAGTCATTTTTTAAAAAAAATCATATATTCACTTGATCATTTCTTATATTTTCTTATGCGGAGTCTGATGACTAGGTACGTATAAGGAACACGTTTGTATTCTGCTGTGAGCGTACTAAAGGTTATAGTGATTTTTTTCACATTGTAGTTTATTTGTTTATAGTGCTCATTTCTGGCTGAAATTATTTATCCTCGGTCAAAAGTTAAACAAAAAAAAAGTTAAGTTAAAAGAGCTTTTTATAAGGTGCAATAACACCAAATATTCCTCACAAATCTATAGCATGTATTAGAATTGCATTGCAGAGTTTTGTAAAAAAAGTAGTTATCAAAGACTCGTAGTACTCCCTCACTGCATATGTCTTGGAAGTTGTTTCTTTTTTCGTACAGGGACTGTTGTCCTTCTCTTTGATCAATATTTGCTATCTGTAGAACTGCAAGTCAGTAGTCCAGATTCAATCACGATTGTAGTGAAAAGAAAAATTCTCTGTGGAGCGGTCAAATGTTCATGTTAACTGCTGTTAGTGGTGCATTTTTCGTAGAACAGTTTGGATGTCTGAAAGTAGTACGTTAGAAAAAGCTTGTTAAGTCCACAGATTGTGAATTTGTCCCATGCTATCAGATATCAGCTAAGCATTCTTCAATCCTTCGTACCTTATTCTAGCAGCGTGTTAATAACGTCTTGAGTAGATTGCCCAGCCTTGGCGGCCACGTGTAGACAAAGCGATCCTTAATTCTGACTGACCTGAACTGTGGGTGGCGTGTCGAGATGCCAGCTGAGACTTTGCAAATTAACATGTCAACGTTGGGGTTTCCCAGATTGCGAGCCTCTCGTGTTCACGTGGTTGCCGGCAGCTGCTTAAGGCATACTCTTCCCTGGTAAACCTTTCTTTTCCTTATCGGTAGAGTGCTTGCTTTTGAGCGTGATCTGCGTACATGCGTAAGGCTCCTAAAGCAAAATCTCAGGGGCACGTGCATAGGACGGGATGACGTGGTGAGCGTCATATGGTGCGAAGGACTCTGGCTCCATGTTTTTGTCTTCTTTCTTGTAAAGAACGTGTCTTCAAATGACAGTTTGTTGACAGTTTGTCTTCACCAGTCGACAAACTAGTAAAGACCAATATGCCAGCTTCTGTGCCACTGAAATGCCTCATGAATTCAACTAAAAATCTACGTGTAAGGAAACAAAATATTTCATGAGATTATTGAATCAATTGGAAAAGGCCACGGATGAAAAATCACGAGTTTCCTAGCACGGTAAGACTACAGAAACTGCTGCTGTTGACTACTGAGACAATTTTGTCAAAGCGGATTTGAATTCGTGACGTGCTAAAGCGAGTAAATTGCTGAGACAGTAGTACTGATAAAAATGCTTTTTGAAGACCTTAAAAGAATGGGGAAAAGGACAAACTACTGATGACCTACCGAAAAATTAGAGTTGACAAACCAGGAAAGAAAATACCGATCTGAGGACTCCTAACTTCTAAGCTTTAAAATACAGTGTTGAACCTTTCGAGTATTTCATGGAAGCGCCCACTGGTATTTGTATGTGAATTTGTATATGAAGCAGCTGAATTGCTGCTTCGTGTCTTTTATTTGTGTGTTCAAGTTGAGAACATCATGCAAGTCTGTGAGAAACTGTTTTGAAATAGTAGAGGCCAGACTGTGAAGAGATGGGTACGATCGCATTCATCTGAGATCAGTGCGTGTTACAGTGAGAAAATTCATAAAAACCCAAAGACTCTGTAGGCTAGGATTTTCAAAGGCACCTAAATGAAGCATCAAGATCTCGTTGCGTTTCACTGGGATTTTAGCAGTTTTGTTCCTCTTCTATTCACAGTCAGGCACTCTCTATTTCAGAGTGAGAACGTACACAGCAAGAGACGCTTCTGGAATGAAGCGCCTGTACGGGGAGTTAATCATGAAGAGTGGATTCATAATAACTCCTCAGGTAGACAAGAAGTTCATATTCTGCATTCTGATCGCTGTTCAGGTGTACGTGATGTGTCTTGAAGTGATGTGCGTTGCAGTAATTTAATTTTGAGGTAACAAAAGTATGAACCGAGAAAGTGAGAATCTACTTTGAAAGCGCTGCTTGCATCTTGTTAGCCACAAACAAATGGAATATAGTCGTATGGTCTTAGCTACAGCCTGAGCTTCCAGCAGTAATTGAGGCTTTAACGTTTTTAGCCTTTCATGTTACTCTGCGTGAAAGAAAAACAAGCGATGATTGATTCGTCCCTAATAAAACAGAAGTTGTAGATGTTTGTTCGTTGCGTCCTCCTCGCTTAACCATTTAAGAGTATAAAACCAGATGACTGCAGTTTTGGCATGGTAAATTATTGTAGAAGTGGAAAAGCATGAAAAAACCTGGGGAAAAAGAAGGTAAAATGTGTGTCTTATTGCGGGCAAAGATGCTTTTCCCATTAGTTTCAAGAGTGTCCGGATTGACCCCTCATGTGCTCAAATACTTGTTCTTGGTTAATGTTTTTACCAAGACAGTTGATTTTTCAAGGACGTTTAAACATTGAGGTATAATTCTGTGTCTTTATGCGCACATGCACGTCCCAGGAGACGGTGCAGTGCTAATAGCCACCCTTCCACCTTAAAAGGGATCTCTTTGAAGTACCTGTCAGAATCTGCTCCTCTGTCAAGCCTCGTCCAAATGCTTGCCTGACTGAAGCCTGAAAGCTATAAAAGGGTTCTGTCAACGTGAATTCCTGCGCTACCTTCCCCTTCGCCCTGCTGTGTGTTTAGAAAGATGGTCTGTTTTCTTAACGGTAAAAGATGTGGAAAATGTGCTGAAGTTTGCTGCAAGGAATTTAAAAGGAAATATTTTTGTCTTGGCATGTAGCACAGTTGTAAAAAGAATCATTTTTATGACATCCATCTGTTGCAGATTAAAATAGGTTGGAATTGGGGATTGTGAAGTGAGTTAGTACGGCGTGATAAGTAGGGTGACCGAAATAAACGCATTGAAATGGATTGGGTGACTGAAATAAATTGCTTTGTCGATCAGTATTAATAAGCTGAAAGCGGGAGGCTTTTAGGATATTCTCATGATGTGAAAGAATGGTTCTCACCCCATGTTTCTGGCAGGGGGCTGAAATTAGATGAGAAACGTGCTCGATCGGAGGTGTTTCGGTGGCACGCCAGGCACTAGTCCGATGGCGTGCGTGCCCTGCTGTACCTCTCTAATCGCGTCCCCACAAAACAGGCTTTCACAGTTATTTACCTGCTTTTTGAAACTCACTCCGACTCTATTTATTTATTTTGAGTACGAAAATTGTCCCTGTGTCTGTGCGTGTTCCCAAATGCTTATTCTGGTTAATCATTACTCCTGTGGCACGACTTTCTTTTTTTCTCCTGGTATCTGCGGTTGCATTAGGAGCCAGTTTACCTGTGTGTAGGTTCACGTGTGGGTGAGCATCAAAGGCTGTGCTGGTTTCAAATAGCCAATGTAATTTCGTGCCGTAATCGTAGATAAAGGCAAGAGGGCTGACGCATTTCACGCTCCCTTGCTTAACAGTACATCCCACAGCCCAACCGAAAAATGAAAACGTGAGTTTATTTTTATTTTTATTTTTTTTAGCCTATAAATGCTAACGAGGCTTTAAATGCGAATGTATGAATGCGGGCAGTTTAGGAGCGAGCACGTTTACAGCATTATCCTGGATTTAGATACTCGGGCTTGAGTACTTCATCCGCTTTGTTCTACGGTTAGCTACACTTGCAGTGCTGCCCGGTTTCGTGGGACTTTTTTCTTTTCCCCTTCAGCAAGCCCCATTTCTGTCTCCCGGGCGGCAAAATGTAGCCACAGGACTTTTTCGCTCTTGGATATTGTTTTTTCTCCAGCCTGTAGCTCTGTGTTAAGCCAGTGTGTGTGCATGAATATGAACTGTAGTCATGTAACTTTTTATGCCAAGTACAAATCCAAAGCCAATGTGTGTTCTCGTAAGTAGCATAGCCAATAACAGGATTGGTCAGTTATTTTCCAGAGTTTCTTTTGTGTGCGTGTGTATATGTGTGTGTATATATATATATATATGAGTATAACAATGTGTCAGTTATTTTCCAGAGTTTCTTGTGTGTGCGTGTGTATATGTGTGTGTATATATATATATATATAAAAAAAGCCCCAGAAAAAACTATGGCTAGCAAGTTGATACATGTATTTTTTTCTTGTTGCTAATATCAGTTACTATGATTTCTGTAGGTTTTTTGCTTTGGTTTTTGCTAAATATTGAACTTCAGCAATTATTGCACTATTTTGCTCACTCTGAGAGGTCGGCGGTTCTTTTCTGCCAGTATTGCCTTGTTTAAGCATGTGTATGCTAATAATGCAAAGTCAGTTTTCTTCACAATTTTATTCTCCTGCAGCGTAAAACGTGGAAACCTTTCCCTGGTGATGAAGTTGTGCTCTCTTTTAAGCAGGAGTTAACTAGAGATTTTTTTTCTTCTTATCTTTTTACAGTCTGACAGCAATGCAAGCTTCCTCCGAGCTGCCAGAGCTGGCAATCTGGACAAAGTAGTGGAATACCTGAAAAGTGGAATAGACATTAACACATGTAATCAGGTAAGATGTTTGAAGGGCAGAAGTTTGCAAGAGCGGGTTGCAAGAAACCTGCCTCGAAACCTAGTTTTTTCAGGCTAGATTACTTCATACAGATGTTTTGATTCACCTCAAGCTGTGTTCTCAGTCTTGTTCTTCAGCGGTATCTTTCTACAGGAAGCTGATAATGTCTATGAAATTGTGCTGCTTTTAGTAAAGCTTTGTGTAAGCCTTTTTGGGCTCCTCTTTCTTGCCAGTGTCCCGCAGGTACGGACATACGTTAGTGAAGTACCTATAATCAAAACTTAAGGTATGCTTTGGTGGTCTCGCTCTTGTGAAGTTCCAGTTCTAATTGAAACAGCGAGCACTAAATATAGTTGTATTCTTCAAAATACTCCCGTTACGCAAAAAAGAGTTCTAGCTGAGCAAGTTATCACGTAGTATTCTTTAGATGCAGGTAAATACTATGATAAAATATGCCTGGATATCAAGTTGAAGGTTCTCGGTAATTCTGGTTGGTTTCTTTGTCGAAAGCTACAGTTTAGATGTCCCGAGGCATCGGTCTTCAGCGAAACTCACCTCCCTCCCAGTCTCCTTGATTTTGTATTGTGTGACAGAGTGAGATTGAACTCCCCGTCTGAACAGGAGACTTGGAAAGCTGAGGCCCACCCGTTATCCCCTTTTCTTTCCCATACCGAGAGCGTCTCCTTCTTGTATTTGCCTGGAGAAGCGAGACTATGCCAGCACTCGCGGTTTTTTGCTCTGTTAGTTACTGCTCTTTCTTTATTGCATCCATTTATTAATCGTGACGAGGCATGCCCGTGTAACGGGCGTTCCCCATTTTAATGGAAGATACGCCTTTCTCCAGAGAACTTGCGTTCCAAACAGGGGTTGAAGAGCAATAGGTACTACAGCAAATTGACAGATGAGCAGAGGATGGCAGCGAGATGACTGTGACGAATAAATTCCACGGCACGCCAGCTGTCAGGTTTTGGGTTTTGGCTTTCTTAAAGCTATTTTGAAGACCTCTTTTCTGGCATCTTCACAAGCGTTTGGTTTGAAAGAAAGTTCCAAATTTCTTGTTGCAAACATTTGTCTAAAGGACAGCGTGGACTGGCATCCTTGGCAGAGCCAAGGAAGAAGTTGAAGGCCATGTATAAAAAATGGTATCCTTAGCTTGCTCGTGAAGACGTTGCTTGGAAGTTTTTCGAGTGAGGTGTGCTTGAATGAATAAGAAAAGCGAAGCTGGTAGAGACTAACTATGTTTTTCAGGCAACAACTTGCGAAGATGAATGCGGTAGTGTTTGAGTGGATTTCAAAATCGAATTGCAAAGCATTTTTCAGTCACCTAAAGAAGTTTCTTGCGAACATCATTTTTTTTCATATTCAGCGTATTATGTTTAAGCCCTGTAGCATGGAGACTTTTTTTAGAGTCTGGGGCTTCTGTCATACCTAGAGCAAGAGTTCTCTTCCAGGACACACTCTCATTCATATGATAACAATAGCAGTAACTTAAAAAAAGAAATTACAGGTCAAAATTTCTAACAACCCTTTTACTCTTCTTAAAGAAATTATCCTGGCCCCATTTACAATACGTTGGTACATGTTTCTCCAAAATAAAGAAATATAGTCCGTGTTTTCAGATTTATGCTTAGTTTTCAGGGCTTGTTATTGCTTGGCTTGCTCATTAAATTAATGTGAATGCTGGGGGAATGGGATAGCAATTGAATAATTCATACCAAAGAGAGCAGATGTTAGCGAAATAAATAGGTAAATTTGGACATTATCTGTGGATTTTATTAATGTTCTTTTATTCAGATCACTCAGTTAATATTTTAGTAAACAGATTTTAGAACTAAAATATTATTTGCTTGTACGCAATACTCTATTAAAATCAGGTTTTCCAAATTTTTTCTATTTTGTGGTGAAAAGTACCATCTAAGTATCACTAAATAACGTAAAGAGAGAAAAATGATGGGTAGTATGTGCTTTACTGAAGAAAAGAAAGAGAATTCCATTGTGAATCTAACCTTCCCCCCCATCATTCACATTACTTTTACATTTTGATTTAATAAAAAGTACTCCCTTTTTGGCAAAGTATGTTTCAGGTAAAGGACGTTTGGAGCTGCTCTGTCCTTCGGGAAATGCGTAGGGATGGAATATACTAGTACCGGATAGTGGAAAAAATTGAAGTAAAAAAATATGATTTTAGGTTTTGTACGAAGAAAACACCCCTATTTTCTTTCTCTTCTGATCGCTATTCAGATTAAGATCAGAAATAATCAAGATTTTCCTTACCGTGTCCTGAGACACAGTTGTGGCTCCTAATGTAAATTGTGTCCAGGAGCTGAGCTGCTAGTCGCTGTGGACATACCTGTTATAAATAAATATAATATTTAGGAAATAAAGCTGTATTTACCTTTGGAATTGGCAAGGAAATTATGTTATGACTCCATTAAGCTGTGACAGCTAATAAATTGCTCTCCCGGGCAGCTAGAAGGAAACAGGCTGCTGAAACAGCATTTCTAATTTTTTTTTGAACGACTCAGGTGAAAGGTACATGTTTTCCAAGTCTGTCGTCAGGCTGAAAGCTCGAGTTGTTTCCTGCTCTGATAGGAACGTGGGCTTTAGAAGCCCTGGATTTCTTTGGTCGCAAAGAAACGCTACGAAAGCATGGGTTTTCTTTGGTGGCGAGAGAAATTGAGAGTCTTCCTTCTTCTGAAAGAATTTTAACGAAGTCGTGGGGCAGTACGCTCTGGAATAGTACCCTGCCAGCGATGCTGATGGCAAATTCCCCAGTCTCTGGAATTCGGGTTGCAATTACTCTATCTCTGAACCCTCGGTGAAGAAATGAAACTTTTGTTTTCTTCTTTGATACCTGGAAGCCACTCGTGTGAAAATTATTAGTACGTTGCTTCAGAAACCTGTAAGGGGATTACTTTGAAGGGGCAGAAGGTGTTGTAATGGATTTTTCAAAGGCAGTATTTATACATCTTCTTCCTAGATCCTATACCCTAAACCTGTTATTACAAGAAAGAGCTTTGTACTGTTTTAACCAGTCCCTTTTGCATTTCTGGTGCTTCTTTGACTTCAGTGGTTCAGCTCTAATGAAGACTTCCTTGGTCTGTTGGTTATTTAATGCCCAAATCCTATCTTGACCTTCGTAAAATTTTAGAAGGAATTTTTCGCAACTGTGTAGTTAGTGCACGACCTCATATATCTTCAGTGGGTTCGAACACTTCTTCATTTTGAAGTTCAAAGGAAGCAGGAGGAGGTTTAGCGCTCCGCAGTGCCAGTCTCCTCCTTTAGGAGCAGTTGCTGGAACTGTAGAGGTAATTGTTTCACCAAGAGCAAGGTGAAAACCAACTCAAAATGTGCACTCACATGGTAGAAAGAGCACGGGGCAGCCTGGGCGTTGTAGGAATATTATATACTGCTTTATCACAGTGAACGCAGTGTGGTCAGCCAGTTGCTTTTCCTTAGCCATCCCACGCGAAGCACCTCATCCCCCGTGACCTGAGGTGCGGAAGTCTGAGGTTTCCCTTGTTATTTTTGTGAGATCTCAGCCCGTAAGTAAACAGTCAGTGGGTGGTATTTTTAGTTGACGAGCTAAGTTGTGTCCAAGCAGATTAAAATCTTGTAGCTCACTTGCATTAGCGATGCAACCCTCAGATGGTTAGAGAGTAGCCGTGGTTTTTCACCTTGTTTCAGAAACCTGCAAACTTCACTATGTTTTTATCACTGGTCAATCTTACCTATGACATAAATTGTTTTACATATTGTTATTAAAAAGTACTTAAATTTTCTGCTTCGGATGCTACCTCCCCTTTCAGGAAAGTTATTACTGCTGTAAAAACACACTGTTAAAGTTTCACCATTGATATGACTGTAATGTGATAGAATGTTTTAGCTTGGCTCTTTTGTAAGTCTGTCATACAAATCCAATTACTTTTGCTTCACAGCCTAGGGACCTACATTTGCAACGCTTACTGAAGTGACTAGTACCATCAAATTTAATAGGACTGTAACCGTGACTTAAAATGAATATGCAAGTAAGTGTCTGCATCAGTCCTGAAAAATGTCTTGACGTTCGAGTGAAATCAATTGCCTTTCTTTGAAGGGGGACTTGAACGCTCAGGCTGTATGGTGTCCAACTTTCCCCTAACTCTTAGCCAGATTTAATCAAAATGACCGCTAGCTGGACAGTGGCTATGAATTTTGACAGTAAAGTCGCTTAAAGGTTGTTTTTAAACAACGTTAAAATCAGTAAATCATTCGATAGAAATGTCACATAAGCTCTGTTTTGTAGCTCATGCATCATGAGATGGGCTAAAATGTCAGTGCACCATCTAAGTAGAAACTTCGAAGACTGTTCACCTTCATAGACTACAGCCTCAGGTTCCGCTTGTGGGCAGCACAGTTTATTCTGTTTGACTCCAACAGTGGAAGAGCTGTAAAGAGGAAGAGTTCCGGGTAAAAAGATGGAGGTATTCAGGGAAAGTTTGGGAGCAGAGGAGACGACTGTGAACATGCTGCCCCTGACAGGCATTGACTGTGCTGTCTGTCTTGGGCAAGGGTTCTGTGAATAACAACTATTAATCAAAGGTGTCGTTGGCGGGGCACCCCTGGTTATACTCCCATATGCCTGCACAGAGCAATTATAAGGAAAAACTCCTGTGCTTTGGCGACGTTTGGGAGCGTAATGAGTGTGCCTATGCTGTTAAATGACCTGCCTCCCCAGTTTCACCCCCGGGTTCCCCAGTCATCCACACTGCGTGTGTATTGGTTGGCTCTCAGGCTCCTTTCGGGGGTAAAGCAGCCGGTTTTCTCTCAGGTGGGACCTGGGAGCCGTTCAGGGGATGTTCAGCGCAGGCACCGCTCCCCTCACCCGGCAGGGAAAGCCTGCGCTGGGGCTGCTGCTGCTCCTCACAGTCCCCCGGTATATCCGAGCAAACCTTGATCCCGTAAGCCTTGTCTCAGGCCGTGAGCCACATTCTGCACAACTTACCGGTGGCAAATTTAAA